GAAGAAGAAGAAGAAGAAGAAGAAGAAGAAGAAGAAGAAGAAGAAGAAGAAGAAGAAGAAGAAGAAGAAGAAGAAGAAGAAGGAATAGAAGGAAGAAGAAGAAGAAGAAGAAGAAGAAGAAGAAGGAAGAAGAAGAAGAAGAAGAAGAAGAATAATAGAATAAATAAAATAAATAAAGGAAGGAAGAAGAAGAAGAAGGAATAAATAAAGAAGAAGAAGAAGTTGAAGAAGAAGCTGAAGGAAGAAGAAGAAGAACAAAGAAGTTGAAGAAGAAGAAGAATAAATAAATAAACAAACAGTTAATAAATAAATAAATAAATATTGAAGAAAAGAAGAAGAAGAAGGAAGAAGAAGAAGTGTGAAGAAGAAGAAGAAGAAGAAGAAGAAGAAGAAGAAGAAGAAATAGCTGAAGAAGAAGGTTAAAGAAGAAGAAGAAGAAGAAGAAGAAGAAAAGAAGAAGAAGAAGAAGAAGAAGAAGAAGAAGAAGAAGAAGAAGAAGAAGAAGAAGAAGAAGAAGAAGAAGAAGAAGAAGAAGAAGAAGAAGAAGAAGAAGAAGAAGAAGAAGAAGAAGAAGAAGAAGAAGAAGAAGAAGAAGAAGAAGAAGAAGAAGAAGAAGAAGAAGAAGAAAGAAGAAGAAGAAGAAGAATAAGAAGAAGAAGAAGAAGGAAGAAGAAGAAGAAGAAGAAGAAGAAGAAGAAGAAGAAGGAATAAGAAGAAGAAGAAGAAGAAGAAGAAGAATAGCTGAAGAAGAAGAAGAAGAAGAAGAAGAAGAAGAAGAAGAAGAAGAAGAAGAAGAAGAAGAAGAAGAAGAAGAAGAAGAAGAAGAAGAAGAAGAAGAAGAAGAAGAAGAAGAAGAAGAAGAAGAAGAAGAAGAAGAAGAAGAAGAAGAAGAAGAAGAAGAAGAAGAAGAAGAAGAAGAAGAAGAAGAAGAAGAAGAAGAAGAAGAAGAAGAAGAAGAAGAAGAAGAAGAAGAAGAAGAAGAAGAAGAAGAAGAAGAAGAAGAAGAAGAAGAAGAAGAAGAAGAAGAAGAAGAAGAAGAAGAAGAAGAAGAAGAAGAAGAAGAAGAAGAAGAAGAAGAAGAAGAAGAAGAAGAAGAAGAAGAAGAAGAAGAACTCATAAGATGATAATGTCTGGTACATCCACAAACAATAACATTTCTAGCATCCATCGTGACTTAAAAACAACACCAAGACTCTACCTTACCTGGATACCTTCACCTGGCACCAATTAGTCACCAAAATCATCATATATATCGAATCTTTGTGAAATCCTGTGACCTCTTGTTGTTGATCACTGTGAAAAATACATCCCCAGTTAAAATAAATTCTGGTTTCGAGTTTGAGATATAAATAAAAGTGTTTGTTCCGTCAGTGAAATAAATTGGATTGTTAACAGGTAAGTGAGACGTGTAGGTAGGTAGGTAGGTAGGTAGGTAGGTAGGTAGGTAGGTAGGTAGGTAGGTAGGCAGGTAGGCAGGTAGGTAGGCAGGTGGCAGGTGTGGTGGTGGTAGGTGGTTTTTTTTTTTTTTTTATGTAGGTGTTTATCATAGGTTAAAAATGGCTTATGGTATGGAACGTCTATGTGGACTATGAACTATTCCTCCTTACCTATTGTCTTTCTCCTCTTCCACCTTTTATCCTTTTCCTCCTCCTATTCACCCTCCCAACTCTTCCTTCTTTTTCTTCCCTTTCTCCTCCTCTTCCCTTTTCCTCTACTCTTCCCCTCCTTTTTCCCATCTCACCCTCCTCCCTGCCACCCTCTTCCTCTCCCATCCTCACCCTGCTCCTCCTCCCTGTCCACCTCCTCCTCCACCTCTCTTCCTCCCTCCTCCCTACCATCTCTCTTCCTCCCCCACCTCACCCTGCTCCTCCTCCCCCAGTCCACCCTCCTCCACCTCCTCCTCCTCCCCCCACCTCACCCTCCTCCACCTACCCACTGTGAAAATTGCCTTCCCAATGTCCGACTCAAATACAATTCAGGATTTAGGCCTCTGAATCGTTTACTGTCCAAGAGTACCATTTGCATACTAGCATTTCAATATCTTTGTGACCCCCAACTTTGGTTTTTATTTAGAAGTAAGTGGCCAATACGGATCTTATTATTTTCATTATATATCTCACGAGTGATTAAGTAACACAGGAATGAAAATAATAACTCAGAAGTCGACAAATTAGTCAAGAATGTTGTTCTTTTCTGTCCAAGGTATATCCCCTCACCCTTTGCCCCTTAATAAATCCCTTCTTCCCCCTTAAATTGATATCTAGTCACCCTTAACTCGAGCCCACTTACCCTTAAATTGACATCCCATCCCTATTAAATTGGCACCCCCCCAAAAAAAAACTGACCCCCTTCCCTTTAATTGACACCCCCCTTCTTGAGCCGTGTTCCTTACTATCCTGTGTGTAAGTAACGGAACAACAAGTAGCTCCCGACTGAGCTGAGAGGATGAGGAGAAAGAGAAGCGACGTTACGTATTTTTTAGCCACTTGACGCCACAACCCGGATTTAAACTATCAAAATCGGGCTGCTTGAACGAAACATTGTGAAAAACTTTAATGTAATGAATTAAAAAAAACGGTAAATAATTTCACCTTAAGTTCAACCACCCTAACGTTAACCTAACCTAATTTAACCTTATCTAACCGAATCTAACCTATTGTAATCTAACCTCTCCCTCAGGTAAAGTTCGAGTTTTAACTATCAGGAGAAATAAACAAGAGGAAGGGGTTGTTAATATTCAGGTGGACCAGATCTACCGATATACCCGGCAGGAAACTGAAAGTATCTTGTCAAAGTTTACAGTGGTTTAAAAACTTCACGAGACAGAATGTAAACAAAGTCACAAATGTTAGAGAGTGACGCAGAAGGAAGCGCAGCCCAGTTACTGTGGAGTCAACATCCTCAAGGACGCCCGCCCTCTGTTGAACAGTTTCTTGTGCGTCCGGTGTTGTCTTGGGGCGTCCCAGCAACACCAGGTGGGGGATGGTGTATCTGGCGGCGTCCCAGCAACACCAGGTGAGGACAGGTGTGTCTGGGGGCGTCCCAGCAACACCAGGTGAGGACAGGTGTGTCTGGGGGCGTCCCAGCAACACCAGGTCAGGACAGGTGTGTCTGGGGGCGTCCCAGCAACACCAAGTGAGGACAGGTGTGTCTGGGGGCCACACCACAGTGTCAGGACAGGGTGTGGTCTGGGGCGTCACAGCAACACCAGGTGAGGACAGGTGTGTCTGGGGGCGTCCCAGCAGCACCAGGTGAGGACAGGTGTGTTTTGGGGGCGTTCCAGCAACACCAGGTCAGGACAGGTGTGTCTGGGGGCGATCCCAGCAGCCAACACCAGGTCAGGACTGGAAGGTGTGTGTCTGGGGGCGTCACAGCAACACCAGGTGAGGACAGGTGTGTCTGCGGGGACGTCCAAACAACACAGGTGAGGACAGGTGTGTCTGGGGGCGTCCCAGCAACCTGGAGTCAGGACAGGTGTGTCTGGGGGCGTCAGCAACACCAGTGGGGATGGTGTGTCTGGGGCGTCCCAGCAGCTTTTCAGGTGAGAGTTTATGTGTGTCTGGGGGCGTCCAGCAACACCAGGTCAGGACAGAGTGTGTCTGGGGCGTCCCAACAACACCAGGTCAGGACCAGGTGTGTCTGGGGCGTCACATACCAGGTGAGGACAAGGTGTGTCTGGGGGCGTCCCAACAGCACCAGGTCCAGGAACAGGTGTGTCTGGGGCATTAGCAACACCAGGTGGGGACAGGTGTGTCCTGGGGGCGTCCCAGCAACACCAGGTGTGAGTTTATGTGTGTCTGGGGGCGTCCCATTAACACCAGGTGAGGACAGGTGTGTCTGGGGCGTCCCAACAGCACCAGGTGAGGACAGGTGTGTCTGGGGGCGTCCCAACAACACCAGGTGAGGACATGTGTGTCTGGGGGCGTCCCATTAACACCAGGTGAGGACAGGTGTATCTGGGGGCGTCCCAGCAACCCCAGGTGGGGACAGGTGTGTCTGGGGGCGTCCCAGCAACACCAGGTGGGGGACAGGTGTGCCTGGGGCGTCACAGCAACACCAGGTGGAGGAGATGGTGTGTCTGGGGGCGTCACAGTAATACCAGATGAGGACCCAGGTGTGTGTCTGGGGGCGTCACAGCAACACCAGGTGGGGGATGGTGTGTCTGGGGGTGTTCCAGCAACACCAGGTGAGGACGGGTGTGTCTGGGGGCGTCCCAGCAACACCAGGTGAGGACGGGTGTGTCTGGGGGCGTCCCACAAGTGGTTCAGTGTTAATCACCACACCGACCTCCACCACAGTGTATCGTGAGCTGTTTCTTACTCACCACGCGTGCTGCTAAGACTCCCTCCCTCAGTGTGACTCAGGCGGAACACACCTTCCCCTCCCTCCAGCTGAAGGAGGAGGGTGAGGGTGATGAGGGACAGTGAAATTCCTGTGATTCACCTCAGGGCAGTTCCTGTTTACAAACACTCATCATCTAATTCACTACAAGGATGTCAGCAACATTAAGGCAGCTTCTCCTTCTATAGGTAATAATCTTTACATTATTGTTGTTGTTGTCGATGATGATGTATTGAAGATGTAAACACTGGCTGACAAAGAAGTGCGGTAGTGTGATTAACGTGACTCACTCTGGACTTGAGTTGAGGATGATGTTGTTTGGTCAAGGCTTTGCATCTCTCTCCTGGTTTCCTCTTCCTCCTCCCCCTGCTCTTCCTAAGTTATCTCTTCCTCCCTCCCTTTCTCTCCCCTCTAAATTACCTCTCTCCCATTTCCCCTCACTCTCTCTCCCTCCCCTTTCCCCTCCAAAACTCCCCCACTCCTTCTCCACTCCCCATCTTTTCCTTTAAACTCCCCTCCCTCTCTCTCCTTCCCTTTCCCCTCTAACCCCCCTAGTCTCAGGAGAGGGCCGTCTCAGTGTTATTAGAGAGAGGGATGAAAGCGGCGCTGGAGATAAAGAGATGTTTGGTGAAAGTCTCTCCCCGGCAAATACGTCGCACCAACATTCCCTTGATTAGCTTTCCTCTCTTGAACCTCAGTTGAACCTTTGTCTGGGTGAACCTTGGTTGAACTTGTTTTTGGTCAGATTGAACCTTTGTCTGATTGAACTTTTGTCTGGTTAAACCTTTGTCTGGTTGAACCTTGGTCTGGTTGAACCTTGGTCTGGTTGAACCTCGTCTCATTGAACCGTTGTCTGATTGAATTCCACTTGAACCTCGCCATATGGAACCTTGTCTAACTGAACCCTGTCTAATTTATTAAACCTTTATAATGGAACCTCGGTTGAGCTTTGACTAGTTGAACCCTACTTGAGTCTCGTCAAGTTGAAACTCGGTTGACTCTCTCTTGACTGAACCTTCGCCAGTACTGTACCTCATTTTATTCACTAGAGCTAATTTGCATAATAGAATTCCTTTTTTTTTACAGTGAAGTTACAATAAAACCCCTTTTATATATATATGGCTTTCTTCCTCACTAACTTTCTTCCGCTTTCTACAACTTTCTCTGGGTGACAAGGGGAAAGCTTTCACTTTATTGATACACGTTATCATATACAGGTATTGTAGTGTAATTTAGGCTTTATTCAGGTATTGTATTATACAGTAGCGCTATTTACAGGTGATGCCCTGAGACTCTGAGCATTGTGTGTAAAAGAGGTAAATGTCACAGTAAATGAAACTGTAAATGCAAACGTTTAAGAACGATTCTCTCTCTCTCTCTCTCCTTACCACTCCTCCTCCTCATCCTCTTACCCTCACCACTCTTCTCTCTCTCACCTCTCCAAATTGACCCCTCTTCTCTCCCTTCCTATCCCCTCTCTGCTCCCTCTCCTCGCCCACTCAGAGTCACCGTGGGTCCCGTAAGAGGTGCCTGTCGTCCTAGGCACCCGTGTGGCACCGCTCACATCAAAGTCACACCAGCAGAGGCACTGATTGGCACTGGGGGAAGGGTGGGGGGAAGAGGGGGGGGGTGATGGGGCCTCAACATGACATGAGCGGAGGGGGAAGAGGAGGGGATGGATGACTACATTGCTAGGAAGAGAGGGGAGAGGGAGGGGAAGGGAGAGGGAGGGGAAGGGAGAGAATGGAAGGAAAAGAAAGAGAATATGAAATGGGGATGGGGTGGGAGGAGAGGTGATGGGAGGGAGAGGGAAGGGAGAGAATGGAATGGGAGGTGGACGGAGGAAAGGAGTTAAGGGGACATCCTCACCCTGAAGGGAGAATGGGAGACAGGGAGCTAGTGAAGGGAGGAAAAAGAAGGGAAGAAGAGAGGGAGGGAATACAGATAACGTCTTGAAATCATTATTATGCACCGCCTCACTTACATAATCATCTACATATCACCCTACAGACTATCTCTACGTCTGTCCACCAAACACACGTCGGTGATTTAATGTTTGTCTCTTTAATATGTGGAGAGGAAGAGTTTAAGCTTGTCTTGCCCTATATTCTAACCTAACCTAACCAAACTTAACCTAACCTAATCTAACTTAATCTAACCCAACTTAACCAAGACAAACCTAATTTGATATAACCTAACCTATCGTATCCTAATCTAATCCTAATCCAACCAAAACTAACCCTAACCTAACCTAATGTGTCCCTAACAGTCAAAATTTAACCTAACCTAACCAAAACAAAATAACCTTCCCTTTTCATTTAACATAACCTAACACAACCCAATTTAATTTAACTAAAGCCTTTAATTCCAGTATGCAAATTAGGGCCCAGGTATTAACCGAGTCCTTTTATGGTTAGTGTAAAGTTTAGTTACCTGCCTGGGAAGGTAATTAATTCACTCACCTGGGCACACCTGGACTCACTCTAATAAAGGTTCGGTAGGCAAATTCAGTCTCCTACCTGATGCTAAGTTATTGTGACTAGTTAGGGTAGAGTCTCAGTGTAAATTTGTTGTCATTTTTGGTTGATTCAGTAAGTTAAAAGTGTTAAATGTCTCCAGTTACGAGAAAGAATCAATGAAGAGAATCGTTAAGAATCAGGGTAAGGTGATTCGTGGTTCATGATTCAAAACTAGACACTAATAGTCTCGCCAACACGAACCTTCTTTATCAGGGGGAAAAAATCATAGTTTTCTTGAGGCTATTGCAGACAACTCCTCTCTCTCTCTCTCTCTCTCTCTCTCTCTCTCTCTCTCTCTCCTGATGGTGCGAGTGTTATCCTCCCTCCTCCGGTGGCTCAGGGGCGGTACCTATCCTCCTTCAGGAATGTAAGAGCCAAGCAACGACGTTGTTTGTGTGTGTGTGTGTGTGTGTGTGTGTGTGTGTGTGTGTGTGTGTGTGTGTGTATCTGTTTATGTGTTTGTGTCCGCCGATCAATTGAAACCCAAGTACACACACACACACACACACACACACACACACACCATCAGCACCTCAGCTCAGGTCAACAAGTCATAGTCGAGGCAAATGACAGATGTAAACAAGGAACAACAAACACCCAACAAGTGTCGACAGTGCAGGTGGAGAGGTGCCGTGTTGATAGCCACTGAAAGACTAACGTTTGTATTCACCGGTGCCTCTTCTCATGTCTCAATGACGTCACAGTGTAAACAACACCAGCAAGAGTGTGACGTCACGAGTATAAACAAACCTCCTGTGGCGTATTGCTTTATGGTATCGGGTGGTGATAAGACGGGGGCGGAGGAGTCAAGGTACTTATGGGTAATTCACGAATCATTCCAAAACGTAAATAACTAACCTAACGTATTTTAACACCTGTAATAAGTAACAAAAACATAAATAAGACTTAATTACTCTCCTACCTGGTCTTATGAGATTAATAACCCAAAAAAAGATTTATTTACTGTACGATCCTAGATGAGATTTGACCAGGTAGAGATATTTGAGACCAGACGAAGTAATATGGATGGTCTCTCGCGTCCTGGGGAAGAGGCGAGACGGCAATGGATGGTCTTACTTTAGCTGTATCACTTGAGGCACTAGTATGGTACAGGAAGCTGCCTCCTCTTGTGTCTCTGCTTGTTATAGTGAGTCTGTAGCCCAACTCAGTCAAGTATTTCACACTCAGTCAAATAGTCCATCTCAGTCAAGTATTCCAATTCAGTCAAATATTCCTATAAAGTGTTACATAAGTTCAGATCCTTTACGTGTGTGTGTGTTACTCTAGTGGTCACCAACACCTTCCCTCGTTCACCGTACACACACACACACACGCACACACACACACACATACACACACACACACACATACACACACACACACACATACACTAACAATTTGACATGCAGGTCTTGTAATTTGGAGATCAGTGATGTGTGTGTGTGTGTGTTATTGTGTTATTATTATTATTATCCATGTCTTTGTTGACGCTCGTGACGTCACAGTGCGGAGAGACGGACCAGCTGACTCATGGTGGCAGGCCGAGTACATACAAAGGGGGGAGGGGGCAGGGGGAGGTGGGAGGGGGGAGGGGGGAAGGATACCAACCCTACAACATTCCAACGATTATTCCTCCCCCCACCCCACCCACACAACCCAGCCCACCCCCCGTAGTTACCATAAAGTCTCAATGTAATCCTGACGCCATCTTGACTGTCATTGATGTCCCGTAGTGAGTTGTTGTGTCTCCAGTGAAGTGAAAACTTATATGGCATTAAAAGTTTTGACAATTCTGACCAAGTTTGTGTTTCCTGAGTTTAAGTTCCGGCCCAGTCAAGTGAACATACATACATACATACTGTACATACATACATACATACATACATACATACATACATACATACATACATCCATACATACATACTTACATACATACTTATTTACTTTTACTTGTTTATTTATTTACTTTGACTTACACTTTTATTTACTTTTTGTTTTGGTTAACTTACTTAATTTTAATTATATATACATACACACATACATACAGATACATGCATACATACTTACGTACATACATACATACATACGTACTGTACATACATACATACTGTACATACATACATACATACATACATACATACATACTGTACATACATACATACATACATACTGTACATACATACATACATACATAGATACATACATAGATACATACATGCATACATACATACATACGTCAAGCCCCTCATAACACCATCTGTGAGGGAACTACTACACCACGTCAAGCCCCTCATAACACCATCTGTCAGGGAACTACTACACCACGTCAGGTCCCTCATAACACCATCTGTGAGGGAACTACTACACCATCTGTGAGAACCACACACCACGTCAGGCCCCTCATAACACCATCTGTGAGGTATTCATTACACCACGGGTCCCTCATAACACCATCTGTAGAGGGAATTAACATTACACCTGGCCGTCAGGCCTCTACCACCATCTGTAGAGGGTTCATTACACCAATGTCAGGCCCTCATAGGCCACCATCTGTGAGGAACTACTACACCACGCCAGTCCCTCATAATTCCATCTGTGAGGTGGTAATTACTACACCAATGTGATGTCCCTCATAACAACACCATCTGTCAGGAACTACTTTCTACACCACGTCAGGTCCCCAAGTAACATTCATCTCAGAGGGAATTACTACACCACGTGAGATGTCCCTCATATAACACCATCTGTGAGGAACTACTACACACGTCAGGGCCTTCCCTCATAACACCATATCCAGTAAATTCATTACACCACGTCAGGTCCTCATAACACCATCTGTGAGGAACCATACTACACCACGTGATGTCCCCCATATAACACCATCTGTGAGGGAACTACTGCTGACCACGTCAGCCCTCGGCAACACACCATCTGTGAGGAACTACTACACCACACGTCAGGCCCCTCATAACACCATCTGTGAGGGAACTACTTACACCACGTCAGGCCCCATCTGTAGGAACTACTACACTGTCAGGCCCCTCATAACACCATCTGTGAGGGAACTACTACACCACGTGATGTCCCCCATAACACCATCTGTGAGGGAACTACTACACCACGTCAGTCCTCACATAACACCATCTGTGAGGAACTACTACACCAGACGTCAGGCCCCCCAAATAACACCATCAGGAGGGAACTACTTACACCACGGCCAGGCCCCCTCATACCACCACTCTGTGAGGGAACTACTACACCAATGCCAGTCCCCCATACACCATCTGTGAGGGACATACCACGTCAAGTTTCCTCATAATACC